TATGATCTCGAAGTATAAACAAACAAGTTTGACGGTTGGATCGTTGAAACTAGTTTCGTAGAATGCATATGCCATCAAAACAATATATTCACTAACAATTAAGAGTTTATTTATACTTTTGTTAAATATAACATAAGATTTTATGGTATCCACTAGTGAAAATATTTTAAATTGAAGATCAAATTCAGTCATTGTATTCATATAGGGTAAAGGAGTGTAGCGGTAAAAAATCATCAAAATCGGAGTTAAAATAACCGTTAAATCATGATTTTTCATTTATAACTGTCGAAAAGTTTTGTCTCGTTACTTGATCTCTGAATGTTTATTTTTTCCGATTTTTGGTGTATGTGATCTCAAAGTATAAACAAACAAGTTTGACGGTTGGATCGTTGAAACTAGTTTTGTAGAATGCATATGCCATCAAAACAATATATTCACTAACAATTAAGAGTTTATTTATACTTTTGTTAAATATAACATAAGATTTTGTGGTATCCACTAGTGTAAATATTTTAAATTGACGATCGAATTAGTTCATTGTATTCATATAGGGTCAAGGAGTGTAGCTGTAAAAAATCATCAAAATCGGAGTTAAAATAACCGTTAAATCGTGATTTTTCATTTAGAACAGTCAAAATTTTTTGTCCCGTTACTTGATCTCTGAATGTTTATTTTTTCCGATTTTTGGCGTATATGATATCGAAGTATAAACAAATAAGTTTTACGGTTGGATCGTTGAAACTAGTTTTTTTGAATGCGTATGCCATCAAAACAATATATTCACTAACAATTAAGAGTTTATTTATATTTTTGTTAAATATAACATAAGATTTTGTGGTATCCACTATTGTAAATATTTTAAATTGATGATCGAATTAGTTCATTGTATTCATATAGGGTCAAGGAGTGTAGCTGTAAAAAAATCATCAAAATCGGAGTTAAAATAACGGTTAAATCGTGATTTTTCATTTGTAACCGTTGAAATTTTTTGTCCCGTTACTAGATCTCTGAATGTTTGTTTTTTGTGATTTTTGGGGTATACAATCTTGAAGTATATACAAACAAGTCTGACGGTTGGATCGTTGAATGGTGTGTGTATATATATATTTATTTACTTATTAAGTAGCTTTCAATTTATTTATTTTATACGTATAACACTTAAGAAATTGAATAGTATATACATTTATTAAGTAGCTTAAACCTTATTTATATTTTAAATAGTAAAATAAAATTATTTTATTTTTTATTATTCATAACAATTATTTTTATAAATATTGTGCTACGAACCAATTTTTCGTCTCTCAAAAGTTTGCGCGACCAACAGTTCGTCGCGCAAAACTCTAAAAATCTGGGTGGGTAACAAAAATGGGACGCGGGATTTAAATATATATTTTTTTTTTGACTTTGCGCGACCAATATATATTTTTCGTTGCGCAAAAATTTGGGCGGGTACCCAAAATTGGGATGCGGGAATTTTTTATTTTTTATTTTTTGACTTTGCGCGACCAATATACAATATTTGTCTCGCAAAACTTTGGGCAACCATATGTTTTCGCGCAAAACTTTGCGCGACCAATATTCCAATATTTTTCGTCGCGCAAAGTGATACGGTTTTTAAAACGAAAATAACTCATCCACCATTTTCTCAATGTCTTTCTCTATGATCTTTGCGCGATGGATTCTCCACGACCTTTGCGTGACCAAAGAAAAAACTTCGTCGCGCAAAGTCTTTCTTCACGATCTTTGCGTGACGGATTCTGCGTGACGAGGTTTCTGTCGCGCTGAAATTTGTGCGACTATAATGTATTTTGCGCGATGAAATCTCTTCGTCGCGCAAAGTGTAAAATGTAGTAGTGTACGGAAATATTGTGACACCAGATATGGTGCCTTGGGTGGTACAAACTCAACCAACTTCTTCATCTTGTCGATCACATAGAGGACGAGATTATGCTTGTTTGGAGTCTCAATTTTTAGAGCTGCAAGAAAATTATGAGAGACAACAGAAGGAGATGGAGAAGTTGAGGCATATGATATTATCCTCACATCAGCAACCATTCCAGCCACCTACACATCAACAGTCTTCCTCACAAGAGCAATCACCCTCCCAGTGGCAATGTTCATCCTCTCAGCAGCATTCATCCAACCAACATCGTTCTCCCTCCCAGCATCAGTCACCTTCCCAGCAGACTCCATCTTCACATCAGTATCCGACTTATTAGCATCATCCTTATTTATATCAGCCGCCATCTCATTTGTATTATCCCCAACCATACCATCCACAACTATATCACCCAATGCCTTATCCTCCTGGAGAATTTTCAGGGATGCTTCACGAAGAATTTTTGCAGGATTTATGTCTTCAGATCAGAGGGCTCATCGTCCTGAATCGAGTTAGGATATTTTGCTATTTTCTTCATACTATTGGGATCATTTTGAATTATTGCTACCTAATATTGTTTGGCTGGCTATATACGTTTGGGAATTATATAAATATATATATTTGATGTTCTGTGCATTTTATATTATACAATTAATTAATTTTTATTTATTTGAAGAATAATTTATATGTTGAATATAACAAATTAAAAACTAATTTTAAATAAATATGCTCCGATGAATTAATGACTTTGAAATGTATTAGGGGCACATGTATATGTCTCTACAACTAATTATTATTTATTATGAAATTAGAGGTAGTGGTGCAAATAAGCGCCCTTACTGTTAAAAAATTTATTAGAGGCACATAAATATTCGCTCCTAATATGTATTCTATGGTTCATTGCCAACGTGGCAACTGGAACAATAGGGGCGTTTTTAATAACCTTTCCGCCCCTATTAGTTTTTAGTGGCACTACTAATAGGGGCCTTTCCATTATCTGCCCCTCATATGATTAGCGGCAGATTTGTCTAGTTTTCCACCCCTATTTGAAGTAATAGGGGCAAATGTAATCGCCCATAACTCTTTCTTTTTTCGTAGTGAGAGAATCCAAGATTAATTACACATGTTGAGTTTAAAACATGATTATATTAATATAAATTCATGCATGTTACCTAATATTATTTGCACTTCTTCACGAGGCTTGGGAAAAGGATAGCCAGCTCCACGTTTTGGATACACAAATATTGCGCCATGAACTGTGGCTCCAGCCAGTGTCATTGTGTGCGTGCCACCAGATGGTTCCTTCTGTTATAAAAATATAGTTTTCCTTTTTTGTAAAGCCAAATGCAAAAACTTTTATATTATAAATAATTTATAAACAAATTGGAAAGCTTTTAAGGTACAATAAAATTGAAGAAAACAAAATAATAGGTAAGTAAATGCAAAATAAATAGTAAGTAAGAATGTGAGTTTGGTACAGTGAAGCATGTTAAAGACGTTGTCCTAAAGCCTTGTAGCCTCTCTACGTACAGGTACTGACAGTCTACAACTACAAGACTCCAAGATACGACTCCTTGTACACAAACTCAAGATCCGCTATGAGAATGTTCATAGACGGATATAGGTATCCAAGTCGATCACAGAACCATTGCCAAAATAATAAGGCTTATTAATGTACGTGCCCCATGTGCTTTCAAACTTGTCTCATGTTACCACCTGGGCTTTGAAATGTCTCAAAATACCCCCCCACACTTTTAAAATCGGTCTCACGTTACCCATTCCATCAGTATTATAGACGTTCCGTTAGGTGCTTTGGGCCCCACTTTGTTTTAATCCTTAACATTGGAGAATAAGGGTTTTTTCAACTTTAGAAAAGGGGAAAGGGGGTGTTTGGGTGAGAAGGGGAAATTTGGAGAAGAAGGCTAGGGCTTATCAAAATCTGAGGTGGGGTTCGAATTTTGGGAGAATCTGGAGAAGAAATCACTGTTTGGGCTGGGTTGCTGCTGCTGCTGCTTGTAATCTATACCCAGTTCCTAATCCTTGGCCTTGAAGATACAAACTACAAAGAACAATGATATATTTATATATCCCATTTGAAATAGATGAAAGCACATCAAGATACAAGCTCATGTCACCACTCCCTTCTAGATTGGATGGGGAAAGGAATGGAGAAATGAAGGGGGAAATAAAAATCTCCATCACATACAAGATGTTGCCCAGATAGGAAAGAGGCCAGGTGCTGGATTTTGTGGGTTTCTCCATGGAGTAAGACTTAGTTTTTCTTTCATAAGCCTATTATGTCCAAGCTTCCCTCCTGGAAGCCAAGTATCAATTGGGTGATCAAAACTCTGCCATATAACAACAGATGAATTAAATGCATATGTTATGACAAAGTTCCCAATGTCAAGTAGCATTGCTACGGTGGAATGAGAAACCGTTGACATAGAATGAGTTAACCAAATTTCAGTTTTGGATTGGAACAGTAGGGTTAAGTTTCCATTTTGGAAGAGTTGCAATGTTGAAGATGATGTATCAGAAACAGGTTAGTTTCTGTTTGCCACCCAAACTACTGTTTTCGGGGGTAGTTTTTTTGTACCATATCCCAATATAATAGTTTTGACAGTTACCTGGTGTGAAGAAACCCAGCTCAAAAATGCCACTTGGAGAGGTAATTGTCTGGTTCCCAGAAAGAGATTGGCTTGCGTAGATAACATGAGACGCCATGGAGATACAAGCATGGAAGGTTAAACACACTACTACAAAAAACACTTTGCGCGACGAAATAAGTTTGTTGTGCAAAGTACAATTTCGTCGCGCAAACCCAGCGCGACGAAATTTTCGTGCGCATGATCCGTCGCTCAAAACTTGTGAAGAAAGGGTTTGCGCGATGAAAAATATTCTTCGTTGCGCAAAGTAACTTTGTGCGATGAATCTTAACGTCGCGCAAATCTACCTTGAGCGACGAAAAATATTGGTTGCACAAAGTTTTGCACGACGAAACCAACATTGGTCGTGCAAAGTTTTGCACGACGAAAAAGTACTGGTAGCGCAAAGTTTTGCGCAACAAAAAGTATTGGTCACCCAAAGTTTTGCGCGACGAAAAATATTGGTCGCGTAAAGGCTAAAAAAAATTCAAAAATTCAAAAAAAAATGCATTTTCGCCTTTGTCAAAACATTTTAAGATGGACACAATATCAATATCAGATTTTCTATGAGCTTCTTCAATAATTAGACCACCATGGTATGAATTGAACAACCCCCAAAACGGTGTTTGCCGAAAGAGCTCAACATGTGACTCCTTCACATTTTCTCTTATTCGCTCCATTACACGATGAAACTTCAACACGTCTGACCTGTACTCCAGGTTTGCAAACTCTTTCTTAGCCATGAGGATGCTACAAAGAACAAAGAAAAATTCATATCACAATCTGCGTGTAAAAAATCTGTCTATTCAATTTCTCAACTTGCCATCAGACTTTGTCATAATATTGTCGACTATAGGTAAAATGACGATAGGTAAAATGACAGATAGGTAAAAACAACACCCCAAAAAGCATATTGTTTCAATTGAATCATGGAATATTGATTTGGTACAACCAATATATCTTTGGCAGAACCTATATATCCCATGACAGAATCTATACATCTGATAGTATGAAATGCATTATCTCTACATTAGTATTAGTTTAGGTATTTCCCAGATAGTATGAAACCCAGAAACCCAGAAAGTTAGAAACAAAGAAAATATCTCCTCAATTTCTCAATTCACCACGTTTGATACCCAATCTCTGATTGACATTTGACAATTGTGTGCCCAATGTTAGAGACCCAATTCCTATTTGTTGACAATAGGTAAAATGACGACTTCATACCAAACCAAACGCAAAAAACAACAAAACACAAAGCAGATTATTGAAATTGAAATACATAAATTAAAAATACCTGTACGTGAGGAACTGCACTCCAGCAACCCAATGTCAGAAGACCCAATCCCTATTTTGTCAACAATTGATTTCTTGCTTTTGAACATCAGGTTCCTATCATTTTCATACCCAAAAAACTCTACATTATTGCAGCAAGAAATCTGCAATGACTGGACGGAAATCTGGAGCGATTTGGACGGAATGAGCATGATTTTAGGAAATAACCATGAAAGCTGGGATGTCTCAGACGTGCTAAATTGTGACCATCGAACCTTCTGAGTATCTGTAATATTCAAACCTAATCTGAAACCCCAACAATTCTGCATTGAAGAAGCAAGGAATCAATAGAGATTGGGTTCAAAGGAGAATAAACTGTTTGTAGCAACGTGAAATCTGGGATATGTTTAAGATAATTTCCTTTTCTATCTCGATGACAACTGTGGTAAATGGATTCAGATTATGACGTGAATTATTATTTACCCAATTCAAGGGATAAGGGGCAATATTGGAACAAAATATGAGGGTGAAAAAATTTAAAAAAAATTATATCAGAAAATATTAAAAAAGGAATGTAATCCTATGTGGCATAACAGTCAAAGGACTTGTATCAAAGTCACCAAATCCGAGGATTAAAACCAACTTCTTAATGGGAAATTGGATCTATATCAACTTTTCTAAAAAAAGTTACTTGAAGAAAACATGCATGTATATACCACCCAATTATAATGGGTTGATGCTTGGCAGTGAATTAGGAAGACAAGTAGCAATGACAAAATCTGCAGGGGAGAGTTCCTCTTTCTGACCTCGATCATGTTCTTCTACTGCTCTTGCTTAGTTACATTTGAGAACATACTCTAGCTTGTTGAATTTATAGAAGTTATAATTGAAAGAAGTTAAATGAGAAATGAGTTTCTAAATTAGTGAATTATCAATAAAGATAGTAGGTCTCTAATTCCTTAAGTGAAGTGAGTTTGCTAACATGGAAAAGATGTATATGGACAATGACACGCATTTGAATGAAATGTTTTATCGCTAGAAGTTAATCTTAATTAATGAGGGCCCTTAGATTACAACACTCAATGACGGCCATTTAGATGTTGTGCATTTACCCGCATTTCGCAACATTTAAGCCATCCTAATGATCTAATCGTTTAAGACAAGACACATGGCACATAAGCAAACTTCGAAAAAATTAATAAATATATAATAACTTAATTCAATTTAAAATTCAAAAAATTCAAAATTCAAGATTGAAAAAGGATGCAACTCTCCCTCCCCACCCTTATCCCCGCCACCCATACCCAACCCGAAGCCACCCTGGCCATCATACAATACAAGCCCCATTTCTCTCTCTTTCTCTCCCTCTCACACACAAATTGATCCGACAACCATAAAATAAGAAGGGTGTGAATACAAATGCAAAATACAAATCAAACTGATTGTTGAATTTTGGGGATACAGTTTCTGGTCAATTGAGTATATTGAGAAAGGGGCAGTGAGTGGAGAGGTTTATTCAGTGGATATATACAATTCCAATTTGATACTTTCAAAATCATAATCTAGGTGGATCAAAGATCAATCAAAGGCAGCATTAACATTCACTCAGAGATTTTAAGCATCCTTCCTAATTGTAATTAATTTGTAATTAAGATGTGGATCCAAAGCAAGTAATTTGCGTTTCTATTTTTATGCTGATTTTTTCACTCTCCTTTTCTCAACTTACACTCTCCTTTGTTTTTTATTATTTTTTTAAAATTTTTGTTCTTTCTCTTTCCTATTTTACCATTGGTAACATGGCAAGTTACATATGCACTTTGGTGTTGATGCGTAAAAAAATAATAAAGAATTCTTTAAAAATAATATTTTTTAACCAAAAATAATAATATCCCAAACCCCAGCACACTCTTTCCCTTCTCCCTTACGCAACCACCCTCCCATCTTCTCTCTCCCCCTCTCTCTATTTCCCCTCTTTATTCGACAACAACCGAGCCCACCCCTCCTCATTTTCTCTCTTTCCCCCTCTTTCTTCATCAACCATCCAGGTTTTTTAAAAAAGTTTTCGGGTTTGAATATGGCTATCGGTGGGGCGATAAGGGAGTTTGTGGGTGGCTGAATTGGGGCAGCAATGGCTATCGGTGGGTGGGTAGCTGTGTGGGGTGTGACGTGGGGGCGGGCTGAGAAAGCTATAATTGGCTTAGCTGAATCACAGAGTGTAAAGCTCCTTACTTGAAGTGAAAAGCTTCAGACCCGAGCATTAGAGATTTCTCTTTGTTAGCACTTAGCAGAAATGTTACAAGGAAGGACAACAAGTTAGAGACTTTCGAGAATTCGGTGGGAATATTAATGTTGCTTTTGGAGATGAAAAAGAGAAAGTTGGATTCAGGAGATGAAAAATAAAATTTTGGTTTTTGAATTTGCAGAGAAGGGGGTAGAGAAAAGGAGTTGAGGGAGAGTGAGCCATTGATGTTGTTGGGGCTAGGGGCTAGTGCAGTGGTGGATGGTGTGGGTGGTAGTAGGGCGGTAGGGTTGTAGTGCAGAGATGGGAGAAGGAGGGGGTTGACAAAAAGAGGGGGTTGTTGGGGCTGGGGAAAATATTTCGTTTTTGTTTTGTAATCTTCTGGGAGCAACCTTATTTGGAGGAGAAAAACTTCCCTGTCGCAGTGATTCCACCATCAACATCCACATCAGTATCCCAAACCAATCCAATTCTGACAGTTGGCCACAGATTTAAACATATTTTATGCCTATTTTCTTCCTCCTCTCATCGGCATCCCTCTCTCTCTCCTCCTTTCCTCTTTCAGTCCGTAAAAATCTGTAACTTTGTTCTTCTAATTCTTCTCCCTCTTCAGTCACTCCATCACCCACACATCATGTATTAATTTCCCCATTTTATCTCTAATATATTTAAACAAAGATGAAAAAGGATAATAGGTAGTGATAATGAAATGGCTGGTTCTTAGGGATTTGCCCCTCAATTCATTGAAAAAAAAAAGGCTGAATAAGGAGATGATAAGCTTTCTCCCAAACAACACCTTCAATGTTTCCTGACAAAATCGAAACAACACAATCTCTCTCAGCTCCACCATGTCTAATTTTCCAAAACTCCCCAATAGATAATAAATTTGAAGGAAAAAAAAAGTAAATTTAGGTTTTAGGCATAAAAAAATTTTCACTTTTGGAAAAAGCCAAGGCTTTTTCAAAAAAGACAGAAAAACCTCTCAACTTTCAAATCAAAGACATGCAAGTGTAAATGATTTCTTAGGAAATCCAAAAATAAATAAGGGCAAATTTGTCTATTTTGTCTTCTTTTACAAAATTTCTCTCTCCTTTGGGTTTTTCCAAAGTCTCCCAAAAAAAAAGGAAAGAGATTCCTCAGATTGGAAAAGAGACAATGACGCCGGATAAATTTTTTCTCCTCAAAACCGTACCGAGTTCTTCCACATATTCAAAGCCAACCCAATCTTTCTCAAGTCCATTTGGAGAGAGAACTGGGAAAGACGAATCAGGGGTGTGTGGTTGATGATGATGGGGAGAGAGAGAGAGAGAGAGAGAGAGAGAGAGAGAGATGCCAACGAGAGGAGGAAGAAAATAGGCATAAAATATGTTTAAATCTATGGCCAGCTGTCAGAATTGGATTGGTTTGGGATATTGATGTGGATGCTGATGGTGGAATCACTGTGACAGGGAAGTTTTTCTCCTCCAAATGAGGTTGCTCCCAAACGATTGTGGCCGCAAAAGATCTAAAACTTGCACAAGTATCTAGAATAAAATGGAAGTGTGGAACTAAACGGAAGCATCTAAGACCCGATTTTCACTTTTTACGGTCCATAAACTCCATCTATAAAATGACACTAAAACCCCTTTTTCGTTCGTTTATAAAATATTTGCTAAAATATGAATATGGTTTGAATGTATTATGTTGAATTATATTATTCTCCATAAAGAGGTATATATAGGAGTTTACATGAGTGCTTTACAAGGAAATAGATACAGTAATCCATTAGGATATTGCCTCCTAATTATACAAAGATTTGTCAACTAAATAAAATGGGAAATTAAATCCCTCAATTAATTAAGGAAATAAATCTCCTTGATTAATTAGGAGACTCATGTCAACACTCCTCCTCAAGTTGGTGCATATATGACACCAATGCCCAACTTGGTAAGTGAGTCATGAAATACTCTGCCACAAACAGCTTTTGTTAAGATATCTGCCAGTTGATCTTCTAATTTTACGAATGGTAGGCGGATGATCTTCTTCTCAATCTTCTCTTTGATAAAATGTCTATCCACTTCAACATGTTCGGTTTGATCATGTTGGGATGGATTATGGGCAATGTCAATGGCTGATTTGTTATCACAGTGTAACTCCATTGGCTTTCATGGCTTGAAACTCAATTCTGTCAATAGTCTTTTGATCCACAGTAGTTCACAAACTCCGTGAGCCATTCCTTGATACTCTGCT